ATATAAGTCGGAATTTCAAAATTCCGAGTTAAAACTCAGAATTTTGAAGAGTTAAATTTTTTTATTTTACGTGTCCCTTCCAGGCCTTCGTACGATAGTTTATTGCGATAATTGCATCCAAATTTTCAAAAATACAAATGTCAAGAAATTTCATGTCAAATAGCTGTCAGCCGATATTTCGCTGTTATGGTGATTATCATCTGCATTTATCAAAACCTTATCTACCAAGATTTTCATAGTTACAATGACAACAACAATGTGATATTTCCCGGCCTAGTCCGGGTTATAAAATAGGAATATCATGAAATATTTATGGAATAACACACAGATAACCTCGAGACATTGTTGTTGTTTGTGACGTCACATTCTTTTTGGGACACCCTGTATTATCGGAATTATTTTCCTGGTATGCGCCCTATGAGACAATTGAAGTCTGCAAAATATCAAAATCCTGACTCAACTGATAACTGAGCTATAGAAGACGGAATGTGAGATGCAGGACCCTGTATAGACACTTAGCACCTTTTTACACTCGGATCACGTGCTGCCTTTTCAAATTTCCACCATCAATTATTTTGTGAACAAATTCAAACTCGCCATTGCCACTCAGTTCAAAAAATTTCAAAACTGCTACTTTACACCTCAACAGCTTCTCTTGATCTACAAAGCGCAGATACGGCCTGTTCTAGAATACTGTTCCCACATATGAGGTTCAGCACCAAAACATACGCTGATGATCTTAGATTCCATCCAGAGAAGAGCCATTCGCCTGGTGGGTGACGCCACACTCACTCACTCTTTGACATCATTGGAACACCGTAGAAAGGTCGGTGACCTTTCACTTTTCTATCGATACTTCCACGGGAAATGTTCTTCGGAAATCTCTGCTATCATCCCTTCACTAGCAATACCAATCAGACGAACTAGACAAGCCCAGTCAGCACATCCTTTCGTTGTCAACCTCGAAAGATGTCGAACAGCACTTTATCAAGACTCCTTCATCCATAGAACGGCTAGGCTCTGGAATTCATTGCCTGTGGAAGTATTCCCAACAACACATAATCTCCAGAAGTTCAAAAAAAATTCAAATACCTACCTCCTGTCCCTATCGTCCCTAGGAACGCACGATGTTCTTTGAACATTATAGGGATTCCCTTTCGTGCGCTCCAAGCGAAAAAAAAAACCAATATGAAACAACAAGCTGCGCCAAACGGTGCCGAAGAAGATGAAGTGTCTTGGTCGGTGAACACAGATCTCTATAGAACCTATTATACATATTAGCACTTTCATTAGACTTTTAGACCATCCTGAATGTATACTGTCAATCAAGTTCTAATCTGTGCTGGAATATACAGGGTGTTTCGAAATTCGACCGACAACGCTTGACAGGACAGGTGAAAGCCCTCGTGATTTCATAATTACTGGGATAGGGCGTACGGTCTTAAGGTGTTCGATTCTCGAGATACAGGGTGTTGAAGTTGAGAAATAAAAATAGTTTTTTCGTTGTAAGCACCTCCAGAACCTATACTATAGATATTGGCACTGCTTGGACCCATCCAAATTCATGTTCTAATCTAATGAGACTGTAAAAAGAGACACTCGCCATGGCATTCGGTTTCAGGAGGTTCCAAAACTGCTGCACAGCACCTAAAAGAACTCATTATTTCGAGTTTCGGCACTTAAGAACATTTGTATATTCACCTTCAATATCTATGTTCTGATGGAACTGTTGAAAAATAAATTCATCATGGCATATCGGATTCCAAAACTGCTAGGAAATATCCCAAGGGAACAAGCTGCCGATGAAAACGATAGACACTTTCAAGTGTTTTCAAACAATCCAAATATTTCCACTTAGACCCATTTGGTCATGGTGTGAGAAATTAAACTCACCATGGTGCGAGAAGATTCTAAAACTGATGGAAAATATGCCACTGGGACAACAAGCTGTTCATCGTGCCTACAGAAGTGTCTAACTCATTAAGAAAAAATAAGTCTAATCTATTTAAACTCGGACCGAGAACATGGTTGATTTTCTAGGACACCTTAAGAACCTATTTTAAGTATTGGCACTTGAACCCTTTCGAATTTATGTTATAATCTAATGAGACTGTAAAAAGAAGAAGAAGGTTCCAAAACGCCTGGAAAATATTCGACTGGAACAAGCTGTACCATATATGGCACAGACGTAAGTGTCCCCGGCGTAGAGAAACACTTACGGCTATTTTATAGACTTTTAAAACCTCATCACACTCGAACAGCAAGCAGTTGGTTCAACAACAGTCTGAACACACAGATAATTTTCCAAAGAAGAACCCCAGCCAGCACAAAGAGGTCCTGAAGATATCTTGAAGAAATCCTTCTAGGAAATTGTGATGCCTTTTGTAACTTCTTTGAGAGATCGCCGAGAGTGCTATATATACGCCAAATGTCCGCAACCTAGGCTGAGCTCAGCGAGGTCTTGAAGATATCCCACGCAGAAATTCTCATACAATGTCCTCAGGCGCGCACTTTGAGATATACGCTTCAATCGCCACTGGCGAGAACTGAAAGTGCTCGCAATCGGATACATTTCTTTGTGACGAGGACATTGGGAGATTCGCATCAATTGCATCTGGCGAGGTCTTTAAGTGCTCGCGACTACGAGCTGTTTGAGATTTTTGCACGCATCGCCTTGTGAAGAGGACTTTGGGAAATTCGCATCAATTACTAATAGCGAACTCTTCAAGTGCTCGCAACTATGAATTGTTCAAGAATCCGTGCACATCGCCTTATAACGAGGCCTTTAAGAGCGATATTTGGATATTTGCATCAATCGCCACATGATCGCCACTAATATGGTAAGGTGTTCAATTTTTGGGAAGTCATTGGATATCAGCAGTCTCCTGTTGGCGAAGTCTAACTAGCGCCAGCTATATTGTTTGGGGTGAAGTTAAATTTACTGAATATTTGTTTCAGCGAAAAAGATTGAGTTACCAAACTCAGAGTTAGATCAACGTAATGAGAAATTGATCAAGTGAACTTTATCACTTGAAAAAATCGTCGAGGAGTTGGCCGGGTATTCTTTAAAAGAAAAAGGTCGTCCGATATCTACCCACGAATTTGAGGTAGATATTTGATTCTCGATCCCACCTGAATTGAAACATTGTTGTCTTTTTCGTCAGAGCAGATAAATAATTATCATTAATTTACTGCAAAATTTGAAATAATCTTCCATAATGGCGGAGAGATAATAATATGACATGTTGAACACATTCTCTGAGACAGTAAGAAAATCTAGTATCTAGTATACGATTATTATTATCATAGATTAATGACTCCCATTTCATGTTAATACTGGGTGTCCCAAGTTATCGTATAGGTACCGGCAAGAACTTGCTTACTCGACAAGATGAACAAAAAATAGTAAAAATGCTTCGAATGACATCAGAGAACTATGACTAAAAAAAAAAAGTGTATTAGATAGATTGGACAGCCCCCTGGTAGCAACTCCTCAATTTTTATTGAATGGACTCCCTGTATATTGTCATTGAAAATTGCCTATCATCCTATTTCGGGAATGAACGATGTTCATTAATAACAACATTAACAATGAAATTTTTTGACCTCATTAACGTTACATCGATTGAAAATTGCCTCCTCCCATGTTCGTAAGAATGTCCCACAATAAAATTAGATTAATTATTACACTAGGTAGGTACCGTCTGCAATGATTGATGTTCTGCAGTTTAAAATGGAATATCTGTCATTAATATTTTGAAACAAAAATTCAATCCATTCTTCTTATCTGTGAACTTTTCGAACACATGGGTGAAAGCAATTTGTCATTTGAGTAACGTAAAAAAGTCACAAATTGTTCATGTTTTTGTTGTTATCAAGAACAAAACACCAAGTATGTGCTATATCGTTGTATTCCGAAAAGATTGACACGCAATTTTCAGAGACAATTTGATACTAGAAAATAAAAACTGATCAGTATCTACCATCCGAAGGCTGCCAAATATATCACGTTCTTCATGAGCCATTAGGAAGGTTATTTAATGCCATTTAATGCAGTTTTTTAATGCTTTTGATATCTTGACAAATAGGCGAGATATTGCCTGTAAACGATAACTTGGGACACCCATTATTTGAATTATAAAGGCTATTGAAAAAACAACTCAATATTTTTGTAGGAATATTCATTAATTATTCAGGTTATATTTGTGATTACTTTAGGAGCTCACAATGGGAAATGCTCGATCTTGTTACGTCCAGGATATCCTTGGGTGCTCGCAGAAAGAAATACCTATTCATTTCCTGTTATAGATAACCTCAAGGATTCGCAATAATGAGGAATATATCAAATCTGAGGCGAGATCTCCGCGATTTCTTTAGAACGAGTATTTCCCATGGTGAGAGCCTATAGTGATCTTTGGCACCTCGCAGGAGGATTTCGCATTTTGATCCTGAAGATAACTACTTAGAGATATTGCGGAGAGTTCCGTCACTTCCGTGTTACCTGGCACTCATTATCTCGAGTTTCGGCACTAAAGAACTGTTGAAAAATTATTATTTATTAATTAAATTAATCATGGCATATCGGATTCCAAAACTGTTAGGAAATATCCCAAGGGAACAAGCTGCACCATAGGTATAGTGCCGTTGAAAACGATACACTTTTGAATTCAGGCAGTGAACACTGAAAATTTTTAAGGCACCTCTAGAATCTTTGACAATTCAAATATTTACACTTGGACCCATTTGGTCATGGTGTGAAAAATTAAACTCACCATCATGATTTCAGAAGATTCCAAAACTGATGGAAAATATGGCACTGGGACAACAAGCAGTTCATCGTGCCGGCAAAAGTGTCTATCACGTCAAGAAACAATAAGTCTATCCTTTAAAACCCGGGTCGATTTTCTAGGATACCTCAAGAACCTATTTTGAGTATTGGCACTTAGACCCTTTTGGAATTCATGTTCTAATCTAATGAAACAGTAAAAAGTGTCACTCACCATAGCATCCGGTTTCAGAAGATTCCAAAACTCATAGGAGATATTCGACTGGAACAAGCTGTACCATATGGTACCGACGAAAGTGTCTCCGGCGTTCAGAAAAAGCACTTCCGGTCCCTGTTTCTTCTGCGCCAATTCCCTGTACTTCCGCACCTCGTGCGCCGTCCTCGCGAAGCCACCGATGCACGTGCTGTTCCTATTGTTGTCCCTGCAACTTCCCGAGTTCTTCTCCGTTTCCTCAAATCTGCCGTGCACATCGTTGTTGTGGAGTATCACAAGGTCCAGATCGCAGCCCACTAAGCTGAGGGTTGTCAGCAGGACTAATGCCACAGCGACCGTAGCGGATATCGGCATGTTGTAAGTAGTTTCTTGGGCCGGTTTATTTTTAGATTACATCGAGAATGTGCATGATCCGATTACGCTGAGGTCTTCTGCAATACTATAGGCTGGAGGCTGGATTTGTTCTGTTGTTAGATTTTTACGACTTGGCTATAAAACGATTAGAGATTCTGTTTCTATTATTTCTTGATCATCACTTGTGTAGAATGAGCTTAGACGTCGAATCGTACCTACTTGAATGCGAGAATGTTTTATCTAGACTTATATAAATTGGTGCGGCGAGTCGGTTTTTGTACAGGGCGATCAAATAAACTCGATGACTCAGTTTCATACAATGCTTTTCGTACTCGTACAGTACTGACTAGATTCATTTTTAGTCGAACTATAGTACATTTCAAAGAACAGGTCGATTTTTATTTCCGATTCACTACATTCATAGGTAAAAATTGAATATACAGGGTGATCCATGTTTGGGTTATGACGTCGGCGACAATATTTTCACATATCTATGAAATTTCGGAATTGTCATGGAAAGTTGAATTCAAAAATGTATTACACATGAGCTTTGTATACAGGGTGACATAGAAAAAAAGTTCCCATGAACACGGGTCCGCAAGGCCTTGGGTTAAAAGATACGGGATGTTGAATTTAATTTTTTTCTTGGGTTTCTTTGAATATCTTTAGGGTTTCTTTGAATATTTTAAGCCAGGAGACGCAAGCAATGGATAAAATGTGGTATACAGGGGTTTTTTAACATGCTAAATTCAAATATGATCATTGTTTTTGCAAATAAATAATAAAGATTAAAAATCAACACCCCGTATCTTTTAACCGAAGGCCTTGCGGACCCGTATTCATGGTAACTTTTTTTATTATTTTAGTGTCCTCTATTGAGCGTGGCACTATGCAACGTACTTTCTTCAATGTCATCCTGCATACAAGTTATTCGTCCTTCCCTAACAGCACGCAACGTCCAAGGGACGTCCCTATTTGGTAAAATTCGTTCGACTGCCTCGGGCCCAAAATTATTGTCCTTGGGACGTCCCATCTCGTACATCTTTTGCAATGTTCGAGCAAGGACGTCCATGGAATGTCCCAGCTGGTACATCATTTCAAATGTCCTAGAAATAGCATCCTTCAGACGTCCCACGTGGTACATATTGTACAATATCCATGCAAGGACGTCCTTGGCATGTCCCTGATGGGATATAATGTTGAACTTTCGTTTGCGGACATCCATCGGATCGGACGTTTCGAATATTCCATGGACGTCCTGAATGTCTCGACGGGACGTCCTAAGGACGTCCGTGGGAACTAATTGTGCTATTAGGGGTTGAATCAAGTAGGTACTCTTGAAAAGTAGTGGATAAATTCGTTGAAAATCATGTGCATAATTTTTGGGCAGAACGTTCAAGCCGTCGTATTTTATTTTCATTCGGGTATTCTTTCAAATTTCATTATTATACGACAGAGTATGTCGCGAACGAGCTTACACTATAGTCATATCGAGAATCAGTCAGTAGAAATCCATGAATATGTGCATACCTAATTACCTATATTTCAGAATACACTCGATCTCTTAATTCGAAATATTTTCGACAATGCAGTGTTGCCGCTTCTACTAGAAAGTAGTAGCAACATTGATATTTCAAATGAAACCCCCTGTATTTTATCGCATTTTTAGATTATCTCTGAAAATCTGATTTCATCGATATATCACACTTGGGGTCTATCGAAAATGATTACAAAGATAAAGAGTGTTCAAAATCGAGATTTTTCAACTTTAGGATTCATTATCGGTCAAAACGGCTCACATGTTCCCATCTCAACTTTTGATTCACTATTCACTGATATTTAATCAGAACAGATACAGAGGATGGTTCATGATTCAGAATTCTGATGGCTCAGAATGAACATTCGAAAATCTCCTCATTTCAGATAGGTATCTTCTATCGTTTTACCTTTTCCTATAACAGAGTTGGGACATTGTGTGTCGCTCAGCTTCTACAGGGTGTCTATGTAAGGTCTATTCAAAATGACTAAAGAGTAAGTAAATAGAGACCACTGAACCAATTCGACTATAGCAACTTAGATAATTTCTATAAACATTGTTAGAACTATGATAAAAATCAGTATTGAAAGTATTTATTATTGAGTGGATATGAGTTGTTCCGAATTCAAATCATGTATTTTCAAAATTGAAGTATCAAAAGGAGTGCGCCACAGTTCAATTAAAATATACTGATGGAAGATTTAATTTGCGTCAAATACCCACCATTTTGGAATTATCAGTTTAATTAACAAATCAATGAAATACTTAATGGATTACTCCCTTCTTGGTATCTATAACTGATCTTATGCAATTTCTGATTTGATTCAAGAACTGAGAGAAGGTATCTCAACTATTTCCTAAGTTGAATATGTATACAACAGATTTCAAATATTTATTCAGCAGCTTTGAATATGTTATCACTGTATTCAGGACGATTGTGAATGTAAAATCAGATAAAAAGGTGGCTATTGAGAATCTTGAACAAATTCGCAAATCTATATATCAAATATTACTATCATATATATAATAGTGATAATATCAGTTTGTAGCAAAAGATTGTTAACTCTGGATTTCACTCTTTAGCAAGATGATATGATATAGGTACAGGGTGGTCCAAGCTCTTATAGTAGCGAAACTTTGGCAATCAATTGGAGAATAAGTGAGAGATGCGTTAGAATTTTTATGAAAATCTCAAATATGAGTTATTGCTTGGCAAAACTTGTTTGTGACTGAAATAATGCTATCTTTTCAAAATGTCTTGAATGTACTATATATCGACACCTACGCAACAAAATTTGTGGTAACATTTGATGTCTTTCCCGTTTTTACTCGAAAACAGTTCGTTCTATCAAGTTTTAACAAGAAGGCTTTCTTCATGTAAAACTGAAGATTCTTCCATATTTTATGATGGAATTCGGAAATTATTCACCATTATTAACCTGTTAGAGATGTGATAAAAAATATTGACATTGACCTAATGACACAGTGGTATTACTATCGGCTGAAAAACAAAACGCATGTTTTCGCTCACAGACTTTTTTTTGCATTTTTCTGGTACATATCTGAAGAAAAATCGAAATTTCTTGTAAAAAAAGTTCCTTATATGTTATACGGCGTACCATAGGAACTCTAGACCAGTGAATAATGGTTATTCACTGTTGTGAAATGTGGCTACCGTTTTGCTTGAGAAAATACATGTATTATGAATATTTAAACGGTATTTATAAAATATCATGAACATCTCCAGACCGATTTGGTTGAAATTTTGTGAAGTTATTTGAGGAAATATGGTGCTTATTCAGCCCTAACTAGATTGGAATTATTAGGTCCAGTGGCGTCTTAGTGGGCACCATCAAATTGAAAAGAAAGTACGCCACTGGTATCTCTCTGCCGATTTCCATGTTTTCAGATTAAGCAAAAATTAATATCGAAAAAATATCTCGCCCATATTTCAAAAGTACCGTTGCCTTTTCCACCACCTGTGCAATTATTATCTTCTACATTTCAAATTTCAATCACATAAAATATTGATAAACATTTTTCACATTCTATTTGAGAGTGTTTGTACAGAAATTGATGATACCGGGTGACCAGTTATATTCTGACCCATTTCAACTGCTCATCTCCGAAACTATTCAAATTATCGTTGTGCGGTTTGGACTTCTTTATTTTGATATTCCTCAAGTTTTTTGACTGGTTCACCTTCTCACCTGAACTTCCGGTTCTACCGGAAACAAACAAGCCATTATTCAGGTATAGGGCAACTTTGATAACATTGCATAATCTCATTAAACCATTCCACAAGCAGTAGTTGTTTCAAAGGGTTATAACTCTAATAGTTTTCTAGGAGAACATAACTTGTTATACATTGTTAGATAGAGAAAAGACCAGTCTTTCTGAATGTGCAAAAATATACAGGATGATTCAATGAAATAAAAAAGTTGCCCTATATCTGGATTATTTCTTGTTTGTTTCCGGTAGAACCGGCGGAAGTTCAAGTGAGAAAATGAACACGTCAAAAAAAACTTGAAATACATCAGAATAGACTAGTCCAAACCGCACAACGATAACTTGGATGGTTTCAGAGATATGAGCATTTGAAATGGGTCAGAATATAACTGGTCACCCGGTACCTTTATATACACTGATTAAATCTGTGAACTTACCTAAAACATTTCTCACAGTGTTGAAAAAGACAATGGATATTCAACTTTAGAACTGATAGAACTTTGGAATGAATAGCATAACATAACTATTGATAAAATATAAAGTTCCATATGTACACACTACTTTATAGATCATCAATCAGCAAATCATGGTTGAATGCGATATAAGATTGAATAACTCATTCAGATTAAGTAGTTACATCTGCACATTCTGAAGGAAGTAACATATATTATGTTTGTCATTCTCATCCGATAATACATCGAGGATGACACTTATACTTATACAGGGTCTGCTCTTATTTTTACTGGTATGGTGGTACTGATATTATTGCCAATACGTTGTCAGCCAGATTGAGAAATAGTAGATCGTTTTATTAGGATCGAAAGTGACACTTTTGATCCGAATGAAACATTCTATTTGTTCTGCAACCGAACGAATTAACTAAAATAAATATGTGAAGATTGTGAAGTAACCACCAATGGGACTTACTTGACAGATTATTATAAAACCTTTATTATGATAATTCTATTAAAATGATGAATTCATTTGGATCAGGTGTCTGCCCTAATAGCAAATACCGCGCCAGTGCCTGGTATAGGAAAAATAATTTGAAAATGTTCCATATAGATGTTAGGTTATTAGTGACCATATCAACAATAATAATAGCGATTATTTATTTGTCTCCATATTCCACTATATTTGGCTCGGTAATCAAATGAAGGTGAACAATATCGTTGTGTGAGACAGAAAAGTATTGCTGGCCGTGATTATGCAAATACAATAAGTTATCCAATCAATCAGATCCCGAGAATAAATGAAATACATATCAAGCAAGTATGTGAATCTGGAATGCTTTCCTGATCAGAACAAGGATACTTGACTATAATATGGTCTGTCGAAATCAGGAACAGAATGTTTACAAGGAAAAATACATTCTGATAGAAGATCTTGAGTATTTGAATTTTCCAAGAAATTGATCAGAAGGTCCGTTACGGAAGAATAAAACATAGGTACCGCGTATTCAACGTGGTAGATTACGGGAGAAAAACAACTACTTTCTTGGCTATTGACAGCGCAGAACATTGAATTACCATGGTTGTTCACATTATGAACATTGTGTGGAAATGACCTTGAGCTTTTCGTATTTATTCAACATTTTGGAGTGTTTCATTCCTTCTTTTTTACTCAGATGGAGTTGCTCTCATATTGTCTATGGAGGATATCTTTGAGGGAATATAATGCCGACATGATTTTTGTTTGACTAGGCTACGCTTAGTCGGCGGTCTTTGGACTGCTGGCTGGAGACTGCCCTGAACTGATGAGAGTCAAAGAGCTCGAAATCAGTCTGTAGGTGTCTGGCGTGGCCTGGCTAATTCATAATCAATAGGCATTCAGGGAAGAATCACTTGTATCAGTATTCTTTTAAATGAGTCGATGCATAGATTTCGGGAGGATCCCAGGCAACCAGATGACGTTCCAGTGACGTCTTTTTCACGTCACTTGAATGACCAAGGTGACGTCAGTAGTTGACGTCGCATTGACGTGATAATGACGTGAATAAGTCACAGCCCAATGACGTCATATTACTCACGTCGTATTGACGTCATTCACTCACCAAACTGTGACGTCCGACTGACGTCAAAATGACGTCAAAATGACGATTGAATTTGGCGATGATACGTAAAAAAAGATTCCTTTAACATGGTGTGATAAACACCACTAGCCTCTGATAGCATTATATCATATTGATTATTCATTGTTGAGTCTGCTTGGTGGATCCCTCCTGTGTCATGTTCATTCAATCGCCTATTCAGCAGCGCTATCCTTCAGTACGCATCTCCATCAGAATGCCATCAGTTACGCGTATATGTATAAACAATTATGTAGTTTGTGTCGGCGAGATGTAAGCAAACAAGAATAGTTTGATAGCAATGGAAAGGATGTTGGCGAATTTGGCTTCACTCTGTTGAATAATGTATATTGATGCATTCTTTTTCACCAAACAAAAATCGCAATAGCAAATTATTGAAAAATTTCCTAAATGACGCAGCTCACCAAATTGGTACGTCACACCGACGTGATTTTTAGACGTCATAGATACGTCACTGCAACATCATAAGAGTAACGGTTCTAATATAGGTATACATGAACAATCATTTCTATACATACATAGCTTGTTGGTTTCCGAGATATACAGTGTGTCAAAGTTTTTTAGAGAAAGGTTTTTCTACTACTTTTCGGGTATATTAATAATTAGAATAAAACTTGCATTTGCTATCATGAGTAAAACTTCTGTTTCACATGATAATATATAAGTATCCATGGTTTGGAGGTCTGGGAAAAATTGACGTCGACAGGACGTCCCTGCAACGTCATGAAACTGACGTCTTCTTTTACCCATCTAAGTGACGTTCACTCGACGTCGAAACAATGACGTGATTATCACGTCATAGAAAGTACGTCATAGTGACGTCATAAATTGGTGTGTGACGTCTCTGACGAAAAATCACCAATTTGGGACGTCACAGTGACGAGATCATTCGTCATCTGGTTGCCTGGGATGTAATTCAATGATCTGCGTGGCCAGGAAAGTAGCTGTTTTTCTCCCGAAGAAAAGCAACTTTCTATACCGCTTGGAGAAAAATCATTAATATAATCAGTTTTTCAGAGACGAACATCATTTTGAACAGTACCGTGCGTTTTTATTGAAATTGAAGGGGTCGATTTTTCATGGAATCATATTAGGCATTTTTTTGCAGAAAAACTAACTTCATATTATTGTTCCTCATGCATTTATGCAAAAAATCATCTCATTCTGAACTGACAGGAATGGCAGACTGGAAAAAACAGTGAATTCAAATAAACTACAAATTTTGGAGAGTACAATTGCTCTGGAGGGTGAAAAATTGTAGTTTGAGAGAAAAAATAAGATATACTTTTTTTGTTGAACACACCTTCCAGAGTAAATAATCATTTCCTTCGCAAAAATGCTGTTTAAATGAGCCTGATGTTTTCTTGGAACCCTTCATAGAAATCATATGAAAACTTGCATATGGGGGTTTGGAGCCATGAAGTACAATATTATTAGGCCAGTTTTCCTGTAAAAAAATGGCTAATATGGTTTCATAAAAATTGACCCTTTTCTCATGTTCATAGAAAAGCACGGCACTGTCCAAAATGATGTTTGCCTAATATTGATGGTTATTCATACTGTTCCGAATTTGGTAAGAATCTGACTCATTGCTGAGATATAGAGGATGGCCTTATGAAGTGAGACACGCTGTAGAAAAATTTAATACGGAATGAAAATTGTACTCCTTTTACTTTGTACTATAATCACCCCTTCTTATCTCTCAGAACACGAAGGTAATAAGTACATATACAGTCGTAATCTCATTGCTTTAATCCGGTTTACTTATCTTTTCAAGAAGAAATAAAACAGCGGATTAAAAAATATATTTCAAATATAATAGATAATAACAATTTATTCAAATCACACTCGATTTAAGCAATATAAAATTTATAATAAAAGCACAGCATCGTACTTTTTTAAATTCACACTATAGATAAGATAAAAACGAACAAAAAACATTTGTGGCTTTCTATACTTTCGACCGTAGACCTAACTGGTAGTATTTGGTTATATTGTTAGAATTAGATACTGTTTAGGCACTGACTAAATAACTTCCATCGGCATTTTCAACTCCAAATGCCCCCAAGTATATCGACATACCATTGTTGATAATGCCTCCTATCTCCAAGATATTGCACAATGGTAAATTGAACACATACACACTAAAAATAAGAACATTTGGTTTGGCATTCATAAGTTCAATATCTTTGGTAAATAAAGGGAAGGTTCTTATATTAAGATCATTACATTAACATATAGAAGAGATGACATTTTCAAGAAGTACAAATGCCTATGGAATAACAGCACTCAAACTTGCGTTCATTTCAAGATCTTTCAATGAAAATATAAAGTTTATGAAGCACGATAATTGGTTCACAAAACAATACTAGACACAATAAATAAATCGTGATACTCGTGGTTCCTATCACAGAATGAATCATAAAGGCATATAAATCGAAGAAGTCAAAGAAGTGTAAACAAAACCTGCCCTGCTGGCTGAGCCACTGCGCATACTAGCCACAAGTAGAGTCACTGGATGTTATTAGTTTGATAAGAGTTCGGACACAGAAATGACAACGGTTAGGGTTTTTGAATGTTTAGATTTATAAAGTTACACACCTTGCATTGTGACAAGAGCACCATAGTCGTCCCGCGCTTTTTCATTAAATTTTTTTTGAATTTGACAATTCATTTTATAAACGTCAGAATTGAAATAAAATTTCATAATTATTATACTTTCGAGATAAAAGCAGCTATGGAAATCACTTGCTGTATAATGAATTGTGCCAATTTTGAAACAAATGGATATCATTCATTCGATTTTCCGAATCAAATATCAAGCATTCGCTTATGGAAGGAAGATATGAAACGGCCTGGGTGGAAAATCAATTTGAAGACGAGCGAAATTTGTGAGGTACTCATTAAAATTCACTTCTTATAACAGCATCTGATTAGAATAAATCTATATTTTAGGCCCATTTTCAAACAGAAGATTTCAAAATCTGTTTGAGAGAATCTGCCGTTCCATCAATTTACAAAGCAGACGATTTCAAGAACAAAATTCCATTATTATATCATCACACAAAATACAAAACAAAATAATCATGGAAAAAGGGGAAATGATCACAAAATTACATTATGAAATTGAAAATTTGAAAACGAAACTAAGAAAAGCAAGTAAACTACAACGTGATATATTATTGAATGGAGTTTTTGGTGCTGACCGCGAATTCAAAATTCAACAGTGAAAAGGAATATCAAGGGAATTATTATAAGGGCCTTAATTACGCTAGAGGTTATCGTTTTGTAGATATTTTCTATATCGATCCATGTTACTTAGCTCCTAGGGCGCTAAGTGAAGTTGCTGAGAACTTAACAAAACCAAGTATTTGGTAGGTCTCGTCAAAAAAAATTACTTTTTTCCCATGAAATCTTTATTGAAAAATAATTTGTTTTCTGATATATAGACTTTATTTCTTAAAATTGTCTCAGGAATACTTCACGGGAGTACAGTTTCACATACAATAAGGAATTATAGCTATAAGTTTATCCATATGTATATATTCTCTGATATTAAAATGTTGTTACATGCATTTTTTTCATTTATATAATAGTTGCTCTGCTAGAAAAGTGTATCACTATGAATTGAAGTGGGTGTTTGTACCCTATACCGCCCACTGTCCATCTACGGTTATGATTGATTTGACAGAAAATATAACCTCTAAAATCGTATATGACAATCAGGCGCTACTAGGGAAATTGAAAAGACAAAGAGCAGAATATATGTCTTATTCACTCAAACCATTGTATCATAGAAAATAGAAAAGGACAAAAGTTCAGCTGTGTCCGAACTCTAATCAAACTAATACCATCCAGTGACTCTAGCCACAAGTGGACATACACACAACGATTTCTAGGACACGAAGAAACTGACAGAAATTACTGTTTTCCCTAAGGGTGTATACTAGGGCTTTAGGGCCATCTCATCTATCGATTCTACACGGCTTTAGCCGGGCTGCTATGAAACATGGTTTTGTTTACCATCTCTCGTACTATGACCGAGACGTTGAAATGGAATTGCTATACTACTCATATTTACCTGAGCGACCATTGTTCCTCTTGAATTTTTTTGTAGTAACGGTTCCTGATATTCTCACGTATATCCGGCGATTCGGCTTGATTAACCTCCAACACCGAAGAATTGTTTATCGGTTCGTCTTTTCGCTTGTCCAACAACAAGATTTTCCTTGTGCTACCGTTACATCCACTGACCCACAGATTTATCGACAGAGAAGCCATGTTCTCATCGACGCTCTTGGTCAAATAGAATACCACGACGTTGTTCTCGACTTCTATGTCGCAGATGAACAAGTTGTGCACGTAATCGCCGACTCTTTCGATGTTCTTTTTTGTTATCAAACAAGCGTTTTTGGAATCGACTAGAGTGCTCTGCAGACATCTGCATCGACCTATGATTGTTTTTATTGTCTGTTCGTTATCATCGCCTGGCTTCCAATCAGCTGGATACAAACAATGTGATAGTTGCTGTTGTTGGTTGAATAAATTGTAGTGAATCTGTAAGAGAACGAGTACGAACATGTCTTATTGAAAGGGTGTGAAGCCCGTATAACACAATGTATTTCCTTGTACAATATTTTCTGTATTGGAATCATCGTTCTAAATGAGAACCTTGTAGGTGAGGTGAGATTGGAGGAAAAATATGCAAAGTTCGTCCTTATCGACGATATTTTCAGTAAGCTAGTGATTTCTATTTCGAACTAAATCATTTATTTATTATCACTTGTAATACTACTAGAGGTAAAGTTTGGCATTTCATCTCTGTTGGCAGGTTATAAAATGTCATTTTTCATAAATTACTTTTTTCCCGTAGGAAAAAAGTGAGTACTTTTTTCCCGGATATATATCACAAATATATGTATACACTGTTGATGGCGTCTGTTGTGCTATAGTTCCGAAAAATGAGTCAATAATACCGTCTCCGAGAAAGAACTGCAAGTCCTTTTATCTTCCATTCGACTTCGTGGTTACGTATATTACTAAACAACCACTAAATTCGCAATTTTTTGAAATCAAATCACAGAATTAGACTGACAGAAGTGACATCAGATATTTGATTACTTCAAAAAGAATGATAAAGATGCCTACAACGCAGGTGTCCCTACTGTTAAAAACTTAAAATTTCATGTCGATAATTTTCAGATTTCAAAATAATGTAATATCTTCTCAATATTGATTCGTCCTTCCTTCTGTCACATTCTGTCACAGAAGAAAAATAGTGTATTATACACGGGAAAAATATTAGATTTTAGCTCACGGTTTTTTGTCTCGCTACGCGTCGGGAGACAACACAACCTGGAGCTAAAATCTACTACTTTTTTCCCTTGAATAATAAATAACTATTTCCGAATGCAAGTACTTTTCGTCCACAAACACTTTTCGTCCGCTGCAGGGTTGCCAGTTCTACAGGTTTTTCAGTAGATCTCCTGATTTGCATTTTGATCTTTCTGATCTATTGAAACATTTCATAATCTACTGAAAAATATTTTGACACTTATTCATTATTATAATCACCTATATTATTATTAATCTTTAGTTAGTTAGTTATTAGTTGGTTAATTTTACGAAATAAGTAATGAATGCACATATAGGTACTGATAAATAATAATAATAATAATAACTTTTTTATTCACACAAAAAAATAACTACAAGAAAAATGTACCACAAGATGAGTACAGTTGTGAATAAAATATACTCGATAAGTGATAATTCACTTGTTTCGAGATAGATAATAATAACTAATACTAATTCAATAGCGTTTCGAATAGTTTACCTATAGATATAATAGTGACAATAACGAAAAAAATAAATAAATACAAAAAAAAAACGAAAAAACGAATGAGACAGTACAAAAGTATTAAAAGTAATTGCTATAAATTGAAATACAAATTGAGAAGAAATGCATAATACACTTGGACCTTGATACAATGATCAATTAAAATAATTATTTATCATACTTCGGGGATTTATTAAGATAAACTCCCTAAGGTTCTTTTTGAAAGATGATATATGTGGGATGTTCTTTATATTTTCCGGTATCGTATTGTATAGTTTTGGTGCAAAATAAGAGTATGATCGTTGGGAAATAGTTTTGAGCATCAATGGTGTTACGTAATGATGTTTTTGACGAGTGTTGTGATCATGACGTGGAAGCTGTGAACATTTTCTATTCACGTGGTACTTGTTGCCTACGCAAAAGAAATAGAGCTGTCTCAAATCTAGTATCTTCGATTCTTCGTAAAGGGCGTTAGTTGGGTACCTGGGATTTTTAGCGAATACTAACTTTAAAAATCTTCTTTGGGTAACTTCTAAGGAATGTATGTGTGTTTTCAGACTTGCTCCCCATACAATTATGGCATATCTGAGATGGCTTTCAACTAATGAGAAGTATAAGGTCTTCAGATGCTCAAGCGGTAAAATATCTTTCAATTTTCGAAATTTAAATAAAATACTACGTAGCTTATTCGTTACATATGATATATGGAAATTCCATTTCAAATGTGAATCGATTATCACTCCTAAATATTTGATTTTTCTGTCCGGTAGAATGTAGAACCTGTCTTCACCAATGCTAATTTCCAATTGGTTGAAGGAAGGGGTATCTGTCGAATTGCAGCAGAAAGGCAAATACAGTGTTTTTTCAAAGTTTACTGTTAATAGCTTGCTATCTAGATACTTCTTTATATTTGAAAAATCTTTTTCAGCATCAGATTTCAATTTTTCAAATGATATGCATGAACCAAAAAAGGGCAATACATATTGATTTTTCCATATACCTGTTATAACAGTTTCTTTCTTACCCTTAATTTTTTGTTTGTTTCGTTTTTTTGTTGTCAATTTTTACTGCTCATTCCTGTTTTTTTTATACTTAAAGCTTATACCCAGCGAGCACAAACATCCCTGGGATGTTTTGAAAATGTTGGCATGAAGATGTTATTTTGAGACGTAATATGCACTGACCAAAGAGGCCTTTGAAGGATATTGAAGTATTGTTTTTGTTCTTCTGTGGCATATCTTTGTTTGCCTACTGAGAGGTATCCTTGGGATGTTTTAGAAATGTAGGCATGAGGATGTTTTTTTGAGGCGTAATATGCACTTCCCAAAGAGGTCTGAAAGTATTGTTTTTGTTCTTTTGTGCCCTTTCTTTGTTTGCCCCACCACAACGTCTCATGGTTACGTCACAATACGATGAATTCTGATTTGTTTTCGATTTTGTTATTCTTGTTCGCAATTGGCATTCGCGTTTGCAGCGTGTCACGCTTACATCACGCTGCTAACGAACAGAAAGGAATTTGGTGAAGTTTATTGTGTTAGAAGACTCATTTAGTTTGTAATAATGACCATCAGATCCAAGATCTGTTGTTCGGTGCCTCAGTGTAATCAATATATAAAAGTACGAATTCATCAATACACAGCTTCTCCGCAGTTGCAAAATTATGCATTGTGGAGAACATTTCAAAAATTGGGAAACCTATTTCCAATTATATGTCTGTGTGTAGTAAGCACTACTCAGAAACCGATTAAGAAGGTAATTTCATATCAAGAAAATATTTTAATGTTCAATCTATTTTTAATGCATTTTTTCATTCAAGGGAAATGGAATCCTAATGCAAAAGTTCATTTTGACAAAAGGCTTCAGAAAAGTAGGTACCTCGAAAATGTTTTTTTACAGCGATTTAATGTGCGCAAGACGCGTTGAAAATGTTCTGTTGTGTCCATGAAAAGGCTTTAAAAAGAACTAGGGAGAAGGTAGTTTTGTGACATATCAAGGACATCTCGATAATTGCCGTCTGCGGCGAACATTGGCTGTTCTATAATAGTTCTATTCATGTGTGAACAGAACATCGCAGTGGAGGTTCAATGTCTCGAAATCTCGTACTTTTAACATCTCAGAGATGTTTTTGTGCTCGCTGGGTAGGTAGCTATGTAACTGTATTTTGTGATATTTGTGGGAATTATTTTTGTATGACAATGTTTTGTTTGTTTCTATATATTTTGTTGGAAACAGGTTACTTTTCTGTTTTCTGGAAGTACATAACGTTTAGATGTCATAGGTTTATTTCATTATCTTTTCTTTGAATTCCTATAGAATAAAATAGATCTTGAAATCTACTGATGAAAAAAAAATCGAACTGGCAACTCTGGTCCGCGCGGAGAGTGAGTAGACAACAACTGTCATGTGATGTGAATATAAGTGTTTGAGGTCGACGAAAAAATGTAATATGCACCTCGGCGAAAAACCATCTACATAAATAACTATTTGTAACGTTTTTATATTTTGTTTAGGTAAATACGCTTTGATTATTTTCGAGTGAATTAATTCGAAAAAGTACGAATTAATTTAAAAAATCGGTCTTTTTGGACTTTTTTATATAAGTCATGACTTATTCCAACCCTGTAGTGAGGTAAATAGGTACCATTATTACCATATTATTACTAACCTTATCAAGGCCTATACAGAAGTTAGTCGTGAAGTAGTTACTGATTGGATGGGAGTAAAAATATGGCCACAAAGACCTCCAGAATAAGGAGTCCCTCTGCAAAAAGTCTTCAAAGAAATTTTCAGTTTTTTCTAATGTTTCGTGAGTCCATCCAGGAGCGAAAATAGCCAAGGACAAGTTATTTTGTTTCACAATCTTCAATGCCTGAAATACGAAATAAAATAACGTCATCATCATTAACCGGAGATGTCACTATACATAGAGTGTCCTATAATTGACATGCGATACTTCAATAGATTCTTTGATAAAAAATTAGAGAAAAAGGTTGAATGAACATGTGTTGAAAAGTGACCTCCTAAGAACTCTGAGGATGGATTTTCATAATTTTTGCTGAAATTGTTTGAGATGGAATAATGAAACTGTGCTTGTTTTCCTTTTTATGCTAGATTCTAAAATGTAAATGAAATTCACTATCTTTTCCAGGAGTGTATTGAATAGGATCGACTAAGACCACTTTGAGCCCACTGTTAGCAATTATTTTTGAAATTTTACTACATAAATTGAAAGTAGTAGGATTCTTCTATTAGGAACGTATTCCTGTTCAACTATGACAAAATGCACAGTTCTGAGGTACAGTGAATTATTCATTTTGAAGAAAATAAGTATATTCAAATAAGTGAGTCCGAATGAATAGTGTCGACCCATTTGTCATTTCCTGTATATTTTTAGTGAAAGACAAAGTTTTATATAAAATTAGGGTGCCATTTTTCAATCATATTCTAATTTTTTTTGTAAACTTTATCATCAAAACAGAATATCAAAATTTCAGAATATTTTGCTATATGCAACGGGGAAGTTTCCTTCAGATGAATTTTCATAAAATAATTTCGGAATTCTCCAGTTTTATATCCCCGCTGTATAGAATGGCGACCGATAAAGTCCTAGTCGTTTTCATTTTCAAATTAAAGCGATTTCTAATTTTCGGGGCGGCAAACTGTGACGTAAATACATTCTGAATCTAGTCTGAAAATAGCTGATGGTGAACAATATAGCTAGCGAATAGCTAACGAATGAAAAACGAATGAAAAATAGAAGAAGAAGTAAAACTGGTGAACAAAAACATACATAACCACAAATGCACTCAGAGCAGGAATGCAGAGAGTAGTTGGCTTCATTCTGACAGGTTATGGTTTATGTTATTTATGCATTGAAATATCTCGAATGGAGCTGGATCCTAAACGAAAATATCATTGAATCAATGAATCACTATCGGCTACATACAATGATACTATCCTTCCTAATTTACTGTCATCGGTCAGAACAGAATGAAGCCGACATACATGGCTAATTCATCTTATTGTGCCTGTCAGTATTTTGAGTGGTGTGGACGGACTCGAAGTATTAGGCGCTGTTGCAAGATATAATCTGCAACTTTCCTAGAAAATAGATCCGTTTCATCAAGGAACGAATTCTTTAGCAGAAAAATGACTGACAAGTTATGAATAACATATTGTAATATAACGATACTGAAAAATTATAGATACTATCGCAAAATATCATAATTTATCTTTATTAGTAATCAACTTCATTCAGCCAATGAGAGATATATGGGAATTATTCATAATACTTGACAAAGTAGGATTGAAGAACCTATCATATCTCATTGCTGTTATGATATAGTTATTATGCATTCAAAGAACAATTTCCGGAAATCTAGACATATTGATGATGTCGGCAACGTCGTACTGGCACAGGGAATCGTATTTTAACTCTGTGTGAATGTGGATTTTCAGAAAGTACGTCATAGAAATGGTGGAGGAGCGAAGTTCCTCTTTTATTTATTTTTTTCTGAAGTGAAATTTGATCTTAAGAAAAAAAGAAAAAATACGTATATATTAATTTTTTACAAACTCTACAGTGAGATGAGAACTTTAATATAGGAAACTTCCTTACTCCTTCATACCTTATAGGTGTTCATCTTTCCTCCTCCATACATATTCCGCCCAAATACATCTACCCCAACAAAAACATCGAAATGGCGACCCTTAGCGTTTTTGCTTGTTTTCATCAAGGTTTCCTCTGTCCATGTGTAATTCAGAAATATGCCATCACAGGAATCAAAAAAATATCTGAAATTATTATCCTGATTATTGGTATGAAATTATTATTGGTATGAAAGAGCCACCATGAAAAATACCTCCAACTGTTGACGTGTCATTTCTTGTCACAATCAAAATGTATATGATATTCTTGATATTAGGTATTGATAATAATGATTATTATAGCATATCTCTATTTTTCCTTCATGTCTCTTCATTGCCCTTTGAAAAATGTTCATAATAATTGGAAATTAATAAACAGAAGTGTAGGTAATCTGGATTAAAGAAAAAGTTGCAACATATACTGTGTAAGGTATACAGTGTGTCCAAGATAATAAGGATATCATGGGGACCTCGGGAATTTATTTCTTTATTTATTTATTCATTACCCAGGCTGCGATGATCAGCCCAACATGGATAATTAATTAACAAAGGAGTATAATAATGACAATTATTAAACAATACACCATAACCAGAATTGTAGGGGATGAACTATTCTGTCTAGGAACATGCGCAACTGAAAATGAAACGGTCTCAGATGGATGGATGTATTCAATATATGATCTAGAATGCATTTTCGATAAGGTCCAATCCAAATCAATCAGAGTAGGTATTGAAATCATTAGCCAATCTGAGTATAGATACCAAAGGTGTTCTTACTGAGGTGCCTACATAAGGGTAGAGCCGTAGGGCGTTTACGATGCGGAGGAACATTGAATGTTGAATCATTAGGTCTGTTCGCTGTGCCTCCAATAATTACAATATTGTACACCCTGATACCGTTCGGTGTTGTCAAAGAATTGTAACACAATAACTGAAGATACAAATACAAATACAAAATCTTCATTTTCAACGACTGAAATAAATCAGTATTCGCGATAGAAACCAAGCTTACGCCACCTATCGGAGTTGTTGAACGCTGTCAAAGCGGCCTGTTTTCTTTGTTTTGATTGGTTCACATTCATTTTTTGTCAATGATTATTGGTGATATCATCAAAACAAACCACTCAGAAGTGTTCAAGTTGTTACCGACAGGTAGGGCGACATGTTATTTTCTATCGCGAATAGGCATTGTCAAGGTCAGAAAATATATAAAACTTAATACTAGAATAGAACAATAGTAGAATAAAATGGGACATAGCAAAATGACATTATATGTTATACTAGCCGTAATAACATCACTAACATAATATTATCTAGATATATTAAACATGTTAAAATTGGTTTTCAAAGAACTCTTGCAGGGTTTTCTTTCAATGAAATTGTGATTTTTGACTTGAACTGTTTGAAGCAGCTAATCTGAGTGATTGTACGAGGTGAGTGATTGTACAGTTTGGTGGCTGTAATTTTAGGACCATTTTTCACTTGGGTTAGTGAGTAAGGTGGAACATAAATTGTACCTGCAGCTCTAGTACAATAAGGATTTCTTTCCCCAAATGTTTTAGAATTATGAATATTTTTCTTTAGAGATAATTTACCGCCGGAACAGAGTATCACACTTGATCTTGAGGAGGTGTGAGAAGTGTAGTGCAGATAGTTGTTAGATTAGGAGTTTGTTTTAGCAGCATGAACAACAATCTCTGTTATGCAAATCATTTAATCTTTCTGGTCAACATTTCTGATCCTGAGATGGATTATTCAACTACTGATGATGAAACAGATTTCATTAATAAATCCTCGTCGATCAGAAGAACTTGAAATTGATTCGCCATCTGAATTCAAGAAATAACTGTTCATATCTTTTTTTTTCAAGTTCCAAGAGTTTTTACCATGCAATTAGAATACGCGAAATACCAATACACTTGACAACACCACAAGCAATCGAACAAGATATCAATTTGCTACACTCCACTACTCTCGTCTACGCCGAAAAGTGTATTGTAGAAATATTATACAATATAAATTTCATGCAGAAAACGGCGAAAAGATCTATAAGAGATAGGAAGATGCAAAGATAATACACACACACTAGAATCTAGATAGCCAACGCCTCTGTAAAAATTGGAAACGCTCCGATGGGATCAATGGGATCTAACAGACCGGCGGCTAATCGGGTCGTGTGCTGATTCGTTGACCAAATATTATAATAAATAGATGCTCATAGCGGAATACCACCGCTCTGTTCCTTCCCAACTTAGCGTTGCCCATTCTTACATTTGCGGTTCCTAACTAATGTGTGTATCATCTTTGGAAGATGGTTAAATTACAGAAAATTTTGCGCATTTTCAAGCCTAACAATATGCCCTTTAAAAAGTTTTGAAATTCCCAGTAGTTCCGGAGATATGCCTAAAAATTTGCCGATTTCTTTTTTTGAGGTTATTTGAAGGGGTATGAAGGAAAATGAAAGACAATTCCTCATTGCCACTCTTGAAGCTCTATAAAACAGCGTTGAGAACTCAATGAGAAGCGATGAGAAAGTGTCCTTTATTTTCCTATATATTTTAGAATAACGTCAGGAAAATAAAAACAAAATCAACAAATTTCCTTATTTTAGGCATATCTTCAGGAGGCGGAACAACTACCCAAAATATATTTAGATATTTGAAAATCTGGCAATTGAAAAGTACTCAAAATATTTAAAACTGCTAGTTAGGGTACTAAAAATATAAATAATAGACAGGTACTTAAATCAATAATGTTATTACTGGAGAACTTAAATGCTTATTAGATTGTACTTGATGTATTAGTAATGAAAATTAAAGTACTTGAAATTTCATGGTGCTGACCTATTTAAAGAGTTGTTTCCCCCTTGTATCTCCAGGACTACTGGGAATTTCAAAACTTTCTGAACAGTATATTAGTCTTGAAAATGCTCAACTTTTCCTTCATTCAACCATCTTCCTATTTTCCTATCCCTTATGCCCCTTATGGTTTCCAAGATCCCCATGATAGACATACTTATCTCAGACACACTGTACATATTATTATATAGAACTACTACTACTATACCTATATGAAACATTCATATACCGGGTGACACAGGCTATCGGGCCACCCCTGTAACTTCTGCATTCGTCAACGGATTTTTCTGAACTTCGGTACAGTTATATAAGCAACTATTTCGGATTTGATCACATTACAATCCAATATGGCGGACTTCCGGTTTTTCTGGAAATGCCAGCAATTTTGTTTTTTCAAATGGAACACCCTGTATATTTTTACATATTCAAGTTCAACAGGTCAAAACAAGTGCAATCTTGATGTCAAATGTCATTTATTGCACAGCCTACCTAGTTGAAAAATAATTCTAACTGCAAGGAAATTCATAAACTAGTTGTTGATTTTTGAATGTATACAATTTGTTGCTGCACCGAAAAACAAAAATGATATTGCATTTTGTTTCTCAATGTATGTTCTAGAGAAACGGGTAGGTGGCCCATAGGGGTTCCATTTGAAAAAAAATAATTTTTGATCAAAAAGTGATGTGGCTAAATTGATTTCTGGATAAGTGACACAAAAAATAATTTTTCGTTAAAAATTATGTTCTTCTGTTATGTGTGACTCATTGTGAATAGTCTTGACCACATCTCATTTATCCACGAGGTAAAATGAAAAAACAATTTTAATTTAATTTTTTTCGAACAAATGACATTTGAAATAAAGATTGCACTTGTTTCAACCTGTTGAACTTGAATATGTGAAAATATACAGGGTGTTTCATTTGAAAAAACAAAGTTGCTGGCATTTCCAGAAATACCGGAAGTCCGCCATATTGGATTGTAATGTGATCAAATCCGAAATGATTGCTTATATAACTGTACCGAATTTTAGAAAAAATCCGATGACGAAAGCAGAAGTTACAGGGGTGGCCCAATACCCTGTGTCACCCGGTATAAGGACATCCATTGAGTATATTTGATTTTTAAAGGATACTGTTATGGTTGAGAAAGAATAATAATTTGCCCATTGATGTAATAAACCTCATTTAATCAATATTTGTCCAATACAAATGAAACCAAATCTGTGACCAAATGTTGAGAGTGAATAAAAGTGACTAACCTGTTGTGATCATTCAGTTCATTTTGCCAATTCAAATCACCATGGATGGTTACACTGTCATACCAAATGACTAAATTCCCAGGGTTATCTTCATGAATCAAATTTGATAAAAAGGGTACAAACATTTTCAAAGTTTCAATTTGTTCTACCTTATTTTCTATATTTAACAACCACCCATCAAATCCAAATATTTTTGTCACTTTTGCTAAAGATTTTGCAAATTCCATCATTGATTCTGTATTTTTGAATATTTTTTGGCAGATTTCAGTTCCAGGGTCAAATTCAGTTATCAAAGTTCCTGCAAATAGAATAAGAAATATTTTGATTCCAACCTCTCAAAATAGGTAGCTAACTGAAAATACTCTCTACTTTACATCAGTATTCAAAATACCTCTTAGAATCTAAGACACAATAAAGTATCAAGCAGTAATTAGTGTAGCACTGTAGTATACTTCATGTGATTAACACTTCCTTAAAAGTACATTTCACACCAGTGTAGCTTATCTCCACCTGGTTTTGGGAGGTGTAATATACACTCAAACTCAATAATGTATGGAGAATCAAGCTTAAAATATATTGTGGTCATCTATGGCATGGCTACAACCATACTAAATAATCATTAGGTAGATTGCATATGAATTTGAAATTCAAATTGCAGAAGGAAGAACAAGGGAAGAAGCTGTTTTTCCTCTGAACCAGGAAAGTATTTGAATGATATCAAATTGTAGTTATATTTCCACCTATTTATTTTTGGTAAATCCTTACCTAATACTTTGACACCATTTTTGTGTGCAGCATTAATCCAACTAAGAGGAGGAATTGTTATGAAGTGATGACTAAAGTAAACAAATATATCCACTTGTGACCAATTATAAAATGTATAGCCATTGCCAATGATTTCTTCACCAGGAAAGTGCAAATATCTGGAAGTAAATACATATAATACTAAATGATATACTGAGGCCTATGAATAGTACAAATAACCCTCAAGTTGTTCTGAAATCACACATAATATCACTGATAAGAAAAATTCTTACTTATCAGCCAGATATCCTCCTTTATAATCATGGCAAATGAGAGTTTTAGGAACACATCTGGAATCCACTCTTTGGGCTCTTCTTGACAGAAAATTACCAGGATCACTATGGCAGTCTGAAATTGTATTTGGTACCACTATGGAAGATCTAGGAGTCAAAATTTCAACTCTGTCTACCCAGCTAGGCTGATTTTGTAGCACTTCTTCTAAATCTTCTAATCTACTAATTGGATGGCACTGTGCAAAAATATTTGGCATCATTTTATTATATATATTTTTGACTTTCCCCAGACGAATAAAAGAAATTCGTCTGAGTGAATAAATTTATTTATTCGTCTAAGCAGAGATAGTGGGTAACTTATCTCGTCTGAGCAAGATAATGTTTTGATTTTGAATTTTCAAATGACAGACGAACAGCTGATCCACAGCTGATAACAGTCACTAAAGTGTTGTTCAAGTTCTATGGTTCTGAGGTTCTGTTTTCTGTGGTGTGGTGGTTCTGTGTGATAAAAAAAAGCAGTGTTGCCGGTTGACGGGAAATTTTCCGCGTTTCGGGAGATCCGAACGTATGCGGGATTTTCGATTCACCGGGAAATATGATGGAAATATGCGGAATATCGTGTATGTCCATGAGGATCCAGAATGAAATATTTGCGAATGAGCAACTGTATTGTTATGGTTTAATCGCCTGATCCAGTGGGAACTCATTGATAAACCGTCATTTCATCAAAAATCTAAATTCTATACTGTGTCACACGCCAATTCAAGAATATTTGTAACATAGAACCGTAGATTTACAGATGAAACAAAACATTCTACGCTCTGAACAGTGAGTGTTGACACCACACTGACTGAAAATTTGTGTACAGGCTGAACAACTTATATAAGAACGGCTGTCATCAATCATTCTTTCAAACTTTGATCGTTAATATCTTGCATTGGCGCAAAGCTATCATGTTGCGATTTTCGTTCGTCTGTTGAGATTCAGTTTATCTATTTCATCTTGTAATAATATGCATACCATTGATTCATATTCATAGTAGCCGTTCTTAGTTGTTCACCCTGTACTGAGTTATGAATTTCTCTTCAGAAAAAATATGTTGAAAATATAAAAAGATTTCGATTTTGGGCGACATATCATTCAAATTAGAATAACTTCTCATTATTTCGATAGATTATGCGTATCATATTATTTTTCGAAACAAATTCTTGGGAGCTTATTCAATAAATTTGAATGTGGAGGGAAATGGAGAGTAACTGGCAACACTGAAAAAGAGCGGGGAAGAAGAAAATTGAAGGTTAAAATTTTAAAAAACAAAGTAAATAACATAATTTCGAAAAATTGGTTTCAGGACATTCAAGAAATTTTGGATTCTTCATCTGAATGATGACAAAATTCTATCTCTGGACTGTAGAAACTGTTCCATAATTTGGACCATCACCCAAATACCAATGTTTTCAATTACGTCATTATTTAGAGTGCCCACATAGCTCACACCACCTCACACAGCCTTTCTATTCCATTATTTTCCAATAATTTCTTAAGTAATGGAATCAGAAAAAATATTGGTGGCTGCTGGGCTCACTGCAGCTGCAGTAGTTGGAGCATTTGTATTCTGGGGCCCTTCACCTGCCTCAGGTGGAGGCAGAGGCAGACTGGCTGGTCTTGTGAATCTTGGAAAAACTTGTTTTCTGAACGCCATTCTTCACGCTCTAGCAGCTTGTCCCAGCTTCATTACCTGGCTTGAAAAAGATAAATATATCAAAGAAACTAGCCTGAGAAGCACCTTAGCCACAGTATTGTCAGGTGTGTATAGCATGTTGCCATTATGTTGGTGGAATAAAGGGTGCTTCCTCTGGTTCCTGTTATAACTTTGTGAAATTCAAACTGTAAATTGATAATATTATTTCTCTGAGGGCTTTAAAAAAGCATAGATGAAATGAACTAGTTGAGATTAGTAATCTTACTTCTGATGTTTTCCATTCTCCTATAAATATGCTTAAACATAACTGAGAACATAATTTTTTGCATAATTTCAAATAAAATCAAGATGTCTTTATAAATGTGAGATGCTAGGATATTCAGTTTTTTTAAATACAAAATTCAAAAGTATTGGTTTCTTCATCCTTATACTCAATGGTAGAACACAATTATTTATTAGTTACATATTATTGTCTAGTTAGGTGATTTTCTTCTGATATTTCATAAAATTCTAATAAATTTAAATACAGTTATCTGAGTACAGGGTAGCAGTGTTGAATTCCTTCAAACAGGTTGAATATTTCCCAGTCCACTGGACTGAAATTTTTAAACCCATTCAAACTGAAATTGCAAATTTCATTTCAAGGTTGTTTCAATTTTCAGTTGTGAATGGGACAAATAAATCAGTGCAGGAAACATATGCACCAGCTGCTGTTATCAATGCTCTCAAACGATTAGGTTGGGTAATTCCTGCTGGTGAACAAGATGCTCATGAGCTGTTGAATGTCATTCTCACTACTCTTGATGAAGAATCCCAAAAAATAGGCAGAAAGGTAATATAACTTTGGAGTACCATATATTACAGTTTCATTAACACATTCATAATAAAATATCACATTCTTCTGGAAAAGTGGGATTGGATGTGAATACATCAATGAATAGTCAAAAAAGTTCAAATGCTCAATGATAATAATGTGGATGATGACAAATTTTACAGTTTGGAGATAGGAGATTTTCAAATTTTTCTGATATGTACCTACTTACAAAATATTTGCAATTGCATTTTTTTTTGCAATTGCATACCTCGTTGGTCCCAGCACTGGGACCAAACGCCCCATAAGTCGAAACTTGTGCGGGTTAGGTATACATACAAACACATATATCCATGGCCTAACTAGGATTCAAACCTATGTCCTATTAGAAATTGACTCACCCAATAATCATTATTCTGAAGATTGTTCCTCTAATTTTGAAACCTAGTTAGTAGGCGAGGTATAATATTGTTGTTCAGTAGAAAAAAATGCAAAACTCGCTTTTATTCACTACATATTCCAACTTTTTCACTGAGCTAGTGACGTCTATTCTGAACTTAGCTATTTATTTGTTATTGTTATTAATCCAGTAACTTTATACATCACATATGCGTCAAACGGTCAAATCCGGTAGTTCTGAATTTTTGCAGACTTGTTCATGATGTTGACCTAATGAATAATCCAAGTTTGTGACCTCGAGCACCGAACGCAACTTTGTCAAAAATCGAAAAACCGCGAAAAAATCGTAATTTTTTCAAATCTTGGCAAGTCTGGAAACAATCAGAACTACCGATTTGACGCATACTACCTCCATATGTTCAGGCGACAAAGTTACTGGACTATATCCTAATCCTAAAAATTTTTCAAATATCCTAAACCTAAAAATTTTTTATCATCCTTTCAACTTTGATAGTTAATATCTTCTGTTGGCGAAAAGCTATCATGTTGCGGTTTTCGTTGGTCTGTTGAGATTTAGTTTCTCTTTACATCGTATAATGAGATGCATACCATTAGATTCATTCTATCTCAAACTCTTATCATTATTCGTTGCTGAGATATGACCGACAGCCGTTCTTAGTTGTTCACCCGGTACATGAAAATTTTCAACTTGATTTTATAAAAACTTATAGCTTCTCCCCAGGACTTTGTCAATGAGACAATAAAGCATATTTTAATTGATTGATTATATGGTCCCCAGGCCGGCTGCCTGTCGGACGCCCTGGGCATGAACGAGCTGGACCTGCTCCAGCAGTCGCCCGAGCCCGAAGACGCGGGCGACTTCGACTCGCTGGGCAGCGCGATGTCCTTGAACGAGCTGTGCCGCCCGTCGGGCCTCAGCTGGCGCGGCGGCGCGATCCGGCGCAACAGGTGGATCTCGCGGTCGTGCCGCGCGCTGCAGATGAGCGGCCCGCCGCCCCAGCCGGCCGCCCACCCGTTCACGGGCAGCCTGACCAGCCAGCTGCGGTGTGCAGAGTGCGGGTTCAGGGTGAGTTCGGTTCAGGTTATTTTGATGAAAAGTACAGAGGTTCGTTCCATTACCCCCGGTAGCACACTGACGTCAATTCGACGTCACTTTACACCATCTGCGACGTCATATTGACCTAAGACGTTGAAATGATGATGAATCTATAAGACGCCATTCAATTAACGTCATAGAAGTGACGACATATTGACCAATATCATGCTATTCAAAATCAGAATTTCTCTTATTGAACATAAAATTTGGTCCAATAAAAGTATGGACTCCACTCCAACTCCCCTAAAACTGGATTTACATCATTTTTGAAGCAAGAAGGAGGAAATGAAATGTCTATAAAGACAGGGGCATGCCAATTTTCAGAAGATTTGATCCGTTATTTTAAATCTGAAATAATTTTTAGGTAATAGTTCTGAATTTTGCTAACTCTGACTTTTGTATCTAATTCTTTTTTCTTTGCTTATTTTCCAACTCTATTTTTTTCTTCTATTTGTTTCCTGGATTTCTCACTCTCTACCACTTGTAAATCCTGGATTTTTGAATATTCCTGATCTAAAAATTCGATTCTGAAGTCTTTTTCTTTCGAAATATGTTCGAAATGAATATCATTATCTGCAGATATCGAGTCTTGCTTCCAACGAATCATTATTTTTATTATTATCAGCAAATTTGACGATAAACATTTCGCACAATTCTTCAAGTCTATTGATCTTCTTAGTAAAAATAGTATTCGAAACATCATTTGGTATGATTCTTGATGAAATCTCTGAAAGAATGCTCCTGTAGTCGGCTTCGTGGAATTGGTCCTTATGAGTTTTTTTAATGTACTCTGTCAGCATTTCCTGCATATCAGAAAATTCCATCGAATCAATAACATGGATGTTGAAATGTCTGAAAATTTGTATGATCTCGCCTTCGCTCAACTGCTCCATAATATCACGTCAGGGTCACCAAATTGTGGATACAATTGATACAAATTATAAGACTTTGAGTTGTAATTATATTATAAAAATGTCACATCAATGTCAGACTATCAAATCATAATATACCAAGTATATAACATAATTAGTCACCATAAGTATACTCTGGTCAGTTCACTTTGTGAATCTTCTGTTCAAATACTGCTTTTCTGATCTGCAACAGAACATCACATATCAATCGAAGTACATTCATATCAGAAAATATATATCATTAGAAAAATTACATGGATGTTGAATCTGAGACATAACTGAATAATATATTCAACGTTCCGAATAGTGTTTTTTCCAGTAGGCACCTTCCACATTTTCAATTACGTACGTGGGTTATATTAAGGACCTTGAAGGCCAAACGATGTGCTGCTCGAATCTAAAACTGAGGATCAATTTCAAATTTGTATCATGAGACCTACATAGAATATTGGATATTGTTTTCAACATTCGTAACTGAAACGCGATATATTTTTGTAATAATTACAATTGATGAATTATTCATCAATTCATCGACTATCTCAATGAAGACGAGACAGGCAGATAAACAACAATTTTCTCTGCAATGAAGAACACTGTATATACCTAACCCACCATACGTCTACCTCCTTTGCAGAGAGGGTTTATGAACGCCGAGTTGATACTCTCCCCTCGTAAGGGTACCTGTCGTGTTTCCATAGAGACATAAAGCTGAATATCTGTCTTATCTGTTTTCTTGAGAATCTGGAAAGGATATCAATAAATCGCCTTCCGTACGAATATAATGATCTGATTTCTGTAAAGTATACTCTGGTCAGTTTTCTTTGCGGATCTTCTGTTCGGTCCGTATTTACTGGATGGTTTTCTCCGATTGAGTGACAAGTATCAAACACTGCTTCTTGGATCTGCAACTAAACATCACATTTGAATCGAAGTGAAAATATCATTGATGTTGAATCTGAGACATACCTGAATAATATTTTCAACGTCCGTAACTAGATTGCTACATATCCGCTTTCTTTCCGTGTAGCGGTTTATCCAGTAGGCATCTCCCACATGTTCAATTACGTGGGTAATATTAAGGACCTTGGAGGCCAAACAATGTGCTGCTCAGATCTAAAACTAAGTATCAATTTCAAATTGGAATCGTGAGACCTGCATAGAATATGAATCTATGAAAAGTCTGAATATTGTTTTCAACATTCATAACTGGAACGCGATATATTTTTGTAATTCATCAATTCATCAACTATCTCAATGAAGACGAGACAGGCAGATAAACAACAATTTTCTCTGCAATGAAGAACACTGTATATACCTAACCCACCATGCGTCTACCTCCCTTGCAGAGAGGGTTTATAAACGCCGAGTTGATACTCTCCCCTCGTAAGGGTACCTGTCGTGTTTCCATAGAGACATAAAGCTGAATATCTGTCTTATCTGTTTTCTTGAGAATCTGGAAAGGATATCAATATATCGCCTTCCGTACGAATGTAATGATCTGAATTCTGTAAAGTATACTCTGGTCAGTTTTCTTTGCGGATCTTCTGTTCGGTCCGTATTTACTGGATGGTTTTCTCCGATTGAGTGGCAAGTATCAAACACTGCTTCTTGGATCTGCAACTGAACATCACATTTGAATAGAAGTACATTTGAATCAGAAAATGTCATTAGAGGAAATACATAGATGTTGAATCTGAGACATACCTGAATAATATTACATATCCGCTTTCTTTCCGTATAGTGGTTTTTTCAGAAGGCATCATCCACATGTTCAATTACGTGGGTAATATTAAGGACCTTGAAGGCTCAACAATGTGCTGATCAGATCTAAAGCTAAGTATCAATTTCAAATCGGAATCGTGAGACCTACATAGAATATGAATCTATGAAAAGTCTGGATTTGTTTTCAACATTCATAACTTTATAACAATATATCGCTTTCCGTACGAATATAAGGATCTGAATTCTGTTAAGTATTCTCTGGCCATTTTTCTTTGCGGATTCTTTGATCGATTTGTCGTGACTGGATGGTTTTTTCCATTCCAGTGATAAGTATCAACACTTTGCCTGCAAATAAACATGACATCAAATATCGAAGTCCATGAAAATTAATACTGATTCTCATGAGAGGCGGAACATAGATGTTCTGAAACATACCTGAATAATATTTTCCACATTCGTAACTAGAACGCGATATATTTTTGTAATTCATCAATTCATCAACTATCTCAATGAAGACGAGGCAGGCAGATAAACAACACTTTTCTCTGCAATGATACTGCAATTCTAGAAAAATAATCTTTCATTTCCACTCATGGAGCAACGCAAGTCACCAATTATAATCAATTTATGATTATGATTAGAGTCCTGTCGTTGGATAAAACACGAGATAAAACATAATAAGAGTAAGCCATGATATTATAGATCATTCTTGACTTTTTCGAGCAACCAGCATGTCTGTATATCTCTTGTACCCTATAACAAAGGCTATATTCCGAATTCAACTGGTCAGTACTGTCAGTTGATCCACTGACTCTGCTGAAAATCTGTGTTCCGAAATATAAAATCAAAAATTTACTACTGTAATTCGGGACACGTTTTCATGGTTTTTGAATTTTTTGATTTCGGAATGGAAAATCAGCAGATTCAGTACTGTCAGTTGAATTCGGAATATAGCCAAAATATCATGTTGATGTTGAAGACTTGGCAACAATGTGCTGAATGCTGAGAACTGACAAGGCACCGCCCACAATTCGTGCGCCGGGTTGTCACGTTTACCCTCAAATATCCTCTAGTGTGAATTAATATAATAATATTTATATTAACACAAATGTATTATAAACAATAAGCCACAACAGATGAGGGAATATTTTGAGACAATTGATTTTTATGTATTATTAGGAATATAACCTATACAAAATTGAGAATTTATGAACTATTGATTAACTAATATTTCCTAAGTTCCAATCGTATTTCAACATATGGCAACTGTGCTATGGTCTGACCCTACTCAGGAAATCGTGACGTCAGTTTTTACTCGCGGTTTATTTTTTCAGCCGTTTGAAAATTACCGTGGCGTTATTGTTGATCTCAGCACCTTAAAATCGAATGGAGAATTCTAAAAATATATGGAATTGAATGTTATTTGAGTGATGATTCTATTTGAGGAATAAAAATAATTAGTCAACTCGCCTATTTCATTTTTGTGGGTGGTTCCATGGCTGTTAGCAAGCAGTGTATATCACTGAAGATGACTCCACTTGGTCATAGTGTGTACTTTCAGTATATATCTACCGTTCCTGCAAATTTCGGAATCACTACTAAACAAATACTTCCATTGCTACTATTAAAAGTGAGACACACTGTGCAATGTTCATCTTGAGTCAATTCTGATCTTCATATCTCCTCATCTGATGATTCATCTTCAAAATGAGCCTGAGATTTTGAAAAATCGGTTGGGAAGGAAAAAAGTTATGACTGCAAAATCTAAAATTTAATTTTTCGATATCACTCTGTAAGTAAAAGGGATAACAAAACAATTCGAAAAATGTCTCAAGGTAATCTGCTGTCAAAGATGAAAAAAAAAAGTTTTCGTTCATTTGGGCTCCTTTTGAAAATTCAAAAATTTTTCACAGTTTCAGGTGACACCCTGTAGCGAGTTTATATGAAGAACCTCATGTTTTAAAGAAGTACGAGCTTATAGCTGAAGGACTGGGCTAGCGAACAGTGTGAACCAAATTCAAATTGTTCAAAGCAGAAAAAAAGTTATTCATATTTTAACAGGGGGTTAAAATTTTATGACTCATCAAATTATACAATTAGTACAGGGTATTTCGAGACAAATTTCCAATCTGAGTACATGAATAATATTAAGAGTTTGACAATTCGTGTGTGAACATTTCATAGAAATTTTGACGACAAAATATAAGATGAAGTATTGAACACGGATATACTGACAGTATTATTTTCGAAAGTCTGATGATTTAATAGTATATTATTCAACGAGCGCATAATGATGGCTATTACCCACGAAGATGAAAGTTGCAGTACGAACCGAAG